TACATTTAAGAATAAAACTATAGGTAGCCTCTAAGAACTCTTTATAATATAAAATAAAATTCTATTTTTTTACAGGAAATTTTTATGTTTTGATTCAACATTTTTTTAGGTAGAAGGAGTATACTCTACAGAAAGAAGTATAGTATAAATACACAAACCAGTAGCATCATTGTTTAATATCAATATCAAGTATTATATACTATATGTATTTGTATGTGCTTTGCTTTTATATGATTGGCAGCACAGTCGGCTTGTTTACGACAGCATTAGCACAAATATGTCAGTATTGCATGTGCTATGATGTCACCAACAGCTACAATGTCAATAGAAATTTTTCAGCCCCATTATAATTTCATGAGAACACCATTATTTAAGTGGTTCATCATTGACAGAAATGTTATGTGATGTGTGACTATGCTAGCAGTAGCCTGTCGGGGAGCAAACCTCCATAGTATGATGCAGTTAGCAATGACTTTCGTATTGGGTATATTGAGATGAATTACAATCTTTGTGCAGAGTTCATTAGCTACACAGATTATATTATCTGTTTTTAAGAAAATGAATGTTCACAAAATTTCAAATGGCAGAGACAATTTCTTGCAAGAATCCATGGATTAAAGATAAAATTAATTATGGACACGTATGAATTTTTTTTTAATAGCAGAGTTGATGTGTGTCCTCCTCTTAGTAAAAGCTCCCTGTCAGGTACATGCAAAATAAAAACAACAATGATCTAATCAAAGTGAAAAGACAATACTCCCAGAATTTGAAATTGTCAAGAAAACTGTTTTAAATGTGCTATTTAAAATAAGTATGTTCTGCTTATACACTTTTGATGGGAGTGCAAATTAGGTCAACCATTGTGGAAATCAGTGTGGCAATTTCTCAAAGAGCTAAAAGCAGAACTACCATGCAACCCAGCAATCCTATTGCTGGGTATATAACCAAAAGAATATAAATCGCTCTATTATAAAGAGACATGCATGCCTATGTTCACTGCTGCACTATTTGCAATAACAAAAACATGGAATCAACCCAAATGCCCATCAATTATAGACTGGATTTTTAAAATGTAGTACCTATACACCATGGAATACTTTGCAGCCATAAAAAATAATGAGATCATGTCTTTTGTGGGAAAATGGATGGAGTTGGGGGCTATTTTTCTTACCAAACTAATGCAGGAAGAGAAAATAAAATACCACATGCTCTCCCTTATGAATGAGAGCTAAGTGATAAGAATTTATGAACACAAAGAAGGAAACAATAGGCGTCTACTTGAGGCTAGAGGGTGGGAGGAAGAAGAGGAGCAGAAAAGATAACTATTGGGTACTGGACTTAATACCTGTGTGATGAAATAATCTGTACAATAAACCCCTATGACATGTGTTTGCCAGGGTAACAAACCTTCACATGTACCCCAAACCTAAAATAAAAGTTAAATAAATAAATAATTGTGTTCTGCTTTTAGGATATATATTTGTAGGTAGGATGGGAAAACATGGACTACATGTACAGACACCAAATTGATGATCGTAGTTTTCCCCTCCCTGTGTCCATGTGTTCCCACTGTTCAACTCCCACTTATGAGTGAGGACATGTAGTGTTCGGTTTTCTGCTCCTGTGTTAAAACTTAAGTAATTTTCTCAGTATCATTTCTCCATCTCCATTGTAGTCTACGTTGTGCAGAACCTGCTGCGAGTCTAAATATGAGTTCACAGATGTGATAGGCAGAATAAGAGTTCCCTATATATTTCCATATCCTTATCTCTGGAACCTGTGAATAAATCACTGTACATGGCAAAAGAGAATGAATTAAGATTGTAGATGAAATTGAGGGATAATCATGTGACCTTAACATGGAAGGGTTCTCCTAAGTTATCCAGGTGTGTCCAGCATCCTTAACAGTAGGACAGGAAGGCAGAGGAGGAAGAACCAAAGAGATGACAGCTTAAGATGGAATCAGCCCAGTGGTGCTGGCCTTTAAGATGGAGGAAAAGACCATAAGCTAAGGAATGCAGGCATCCTCTAGAAGCTGAAAAAGGCAAGGAAACAGAGTTTGCTAGATCTTGCAGGAGTACAGCCCGGCTGACACCTTGATTTTAGCCTTGTAAGGCCCATTTCAGATATCTGACCTTCAGAACTGTAAGATTTGTGTGGTTTTAAGCCACTAAGTTTGCATCAATCTCTTACAGCAGCAACAGAAAACTAATGCAAGAGAGGTCTTGATTTACAAATATGTATGCTTGCAGGTATACACATATACACACGTACCCCTAAAGGAGAACCCACCAAGAACTAGAAAGTTGTTTGTTGGCAGATGCCTTCTAACATACGGTTTAGTAAGAAAATCTTCTGACATTATGAAACCATCACTATCACAGTCTAACATAAAGAAACAAAAATTTGCTACAAATATAGCAAAGGCTTTCCCCCATAAGACCTCATATAAATTGATGAAAATAATATCAAGTTAATAAATGGGCAAATAACTTTTGAGATAATTCACAAAATAAAAAACATAAATGGCTAATAAAATATAAAAATACATCAGATGTAAGAAAACTATTGCAAAAATAAATAATTGAAGAGATGCCATTTTGTTTATTTTCTTGGCATGGATTTTTAAGAGGAACTGTCCTAGGGATATGGAAAAGCAAGCATTGTTGGTCACTGTTGTAGTAGGATAGATGATACAAACTTTCTGAAAACCAATAATGTGTAAAAAAAAAAGTCATAAAAACATTCAGTGGCACTTCTGCAATAATAATTTTACCTCTGAGAATCAGATCATCGAAAATTTGGGAAAAGCATTAATATTTTTCATAATATTATTTATAACTTGAAAACAACTTTCAATAATAGAACATTACCTTAATACATTGCAGTATATTTAAATGATACAAATTTATGTAGTCATTAATAATTAAGCTAGAGTCCTAAGAGTATAAGTGATATACAGCAACGACAAGAGAGAAAGATTGGAAGGAAATCTAATATAAAGTTATGAGTGATGGGGTTAGGGGCCATTTCTTGCTTCTCTGTGTAACTGGTTTACTGAATGGGTTGGTAGAATACAGTCAAAAGGCAATTTTGTTTGTTCTCTCACTGCCCCTTCAAGTACACGTTATCACTTTGTTCTAACTTATCCTTTGGATCATATTTCAAGCAGACCTTACAGCTGTCTTAGTCCCTCAGAGATATTAAATATCTAGTCCAAGTAGTTGAATATTCTCATCCATTTAAAAACTCCTCCTGAGTTTGGGTCTGATTTTAACTTGCAGACTTGCAGAGGAGAAAAAACACAGCACTGCTTCCTCCTCTTCTCACTCCACGTCTCTCACTGTTTTATTGTGGGGATGAAGTAGAAGGAGAAATGATGGGAGAAAAGTAGGGAACGAGGTGTTAGCATGAAGGGCTCCTTTGTAATCTGGCAGGGATACTCTCTGGGTGTGACATCTCCAACATGCTGACGCTTCTTCTTGTGGGATTCTTCAGAATCCCACCCTACCTCTCCTATAGGATCCCTACCTGTTTCTTGGTTGATCAGCCGCCATGGTTTGCCACTTTGCACCCCTACTTGCCTTCTATAGCCAAAGTACCATCATCCTGAGGTCACCCATCCCTGCCAGGAAGTCCTCTGGGGTGGCTCCAACTCCAGAACAGCACAGGAAACTCTCTCCGGAGGCCTTACTCCCAGACTAAGGGCCCACATACACATCCTGCCCAATCCTGTCTCCACACACTATAACCAAAAGCCCCTCTAGAAACAGCCTCCTGCCTTTTGACTCTTTCAAGTGTGAGTCGGGTGCCAAGCCCCCATGTTTCCCAAAATGTAAGAAATGTTAAACTCCCCAAGTGCTTTCTGAAGCACCCCCTCACTTGGCTTGCGGTGAGACAAGGTGCCTGCTGGGTGGGAAAAGCCATCATCACCCTGGTAGATTTCTCTGGAAGCCCTTCTCGTAAGACCTCACGCTAGCCTTTTCCCTAATCTCCCACCCCTCAGAGCTTCTTGGGCTTTATTTAGACATTCTAGAGAAGGATGACAAGATCAGGGTCCTAATTCACATGGGTAGTCGAAAGCCCCAAATGTCTTGTTCTCTGCATTGGAAACATCGACCTTTGAAACTAGGCCTACCAGGAAAAGTTTATTTTCCCAGTGTTATTTTATAATGGGAGTAAAGGGTGGAAACAAATGTTAACAAAGGCAAGAAGAGAAACTATAACAGCTATCAAGTAATCTGTTTTTCATACCTATCAAAGTGCTTATGGTAAGTATTTTTAGACTAGACTAGATTCATTGACAATTTTGTCCTCTAGGAATTGCGGTGTCTTTGGCTCCGTGGAATAAAAATCATCCTCTTAGCATCATAAATTCAAAGGGTAAATTCTACACCTGCATGTATTCTTGGAATTACTTGTATTAAAAGTATAAATTACCTCTTCTATTTCATTTTTACAGTACCGAATCTCCAATAAGTTAATGTGTTTCCTTGTGATATGATTAACAAAGCGATTTAGTGTCTAAATATGATTTACATTCCCAGAGCATTTTAAATAATTAAGTAGATGATTGGTATTTAATTTATATGCAACATGTTTTGATTATTTCTGTAGCTTTTAAATATTAAAATAGTTATAGTTAATGAGTGCTAGTACGAAATGCTCAACAGTCAGAAAAAAATATTAGAACTTTAAAATGGATTTCTTAATCTTTGCTGACTATAAAATATAAGAACTGCAAGCCCCAAATCAAAAATCTAAGTGAAATATCCAAAAACTGGTTTTTCCCCCATTTCTGCGTACTTTTTAGAAAGCTAGTAAGGCTACATAGAAATGAAAAAACTCTTAAAACCACAGCTATCATTTTAAAAGAGTTTTTCCTATGGCAAATTCTTAAAAGTTGCTCATAAATTTTTATCTTTATTAGATTATATTGGCTCTTTAATTATGGAAACTTAGAATCGCTTCTTAAAGTACCAATTTTTTCTTGTTTGCAGTTGGTGGGTTTTGTGTATGCCTGCTATGTGATCAGTATTTCCATGGAAGAAGAAGACACATGTAAGTACTGTTATCTCTCTCCCTGTGGGTTCCTTTTGAATGAGATACAGCTTCCAAAACTAATCATTACATGGCTATGAAATTGTTTATATTTGGAGTCTACAATGATTGAACTCAGCATGCTAAAGTTATAGTCAGAAGTTGACAAACTGAACCACACACAAATAAGGTGACGCTACATATTGAAACTCTCAATTTGTGAGAGCTCGCACAGAGACTCAGAAGCTCAAGGACTGCTGACATATCATATCTTAGCAACTTTTCATCAGACACCTAACCATTATACCAACCAGGCAATCAATGGTTGTTTTGTTTATTACCGATTTTACATATGCTGGTGACGGAATTTTGAAGTCTAGGTAACAGTAACGGTATCAAGACACAATACATTATATTACAAAAAATCTATATGTATATAAACTATATAAAATGTGATGAAGAAAACAAACATTTACAACCTTCCAGGTGAGATGCAAAAGAGAACTACAAAGGGTGCTTTAAAAAATGAATGGAATGTCTAAAAGCTAAATCATTTTTTAGCAGAACACCCAAAGAAAAAATATATATTAATACTACGACCTGAAGTTATATGATAGAGCTTTAGCAACGTAAGTCAACAAATGGCCTTCACTGAGCACCTGCTAATGTCTAAGGCACTTCCTGGTACAACTCTATTAGGGACTCATGTAATATCAAAGAAAATTTTAATTTACTTTTAAAAAATAAATTATTTTAGATAAAGAAATCACACCTTACTAAATCAGAGACTGCATTGCAGTCACTGTTTGAATTTGCACTAAGATGAAGCAAAGTAGCTAGCTATTAAAACTTCCAGCACACAGTCTCAAAGGGGTCTGATGAATGCTTCCCATCAAATACATGGGTGGTACATGGTATTTGAATTGGAATCCAGAATCTCAATTTATTTGACTAAATCTCAGACCCTGAGATTTAACATATCAGGCAGTGAAAACACGCAGACAAATTGCATCATGTATTTAATGCTTACTCAGGGTTGTTGTTGTTGTTGTTGTTTTAATGCTAGATAAGACAAAAAGTTTCTGTCGCTTAACAAGTGTGGTTCTAATGACCACACTTTCACTTTGAGGTTAACTTCAAGAACTCTGTGTTTAGGAGTTTTATTAGTAGTTCTACAACCTGGTGAAGTTAATACACAGAAGGATAGCAGCATGTTTCCAACCCACAGCTAAGACAGGCTGCACAGCCAAAAACGGTTGAGTGTGAAAAATATTAACTAGAATTTCAACCTAAAAGTTATTCGACTTTGAGCTGAGTAAATTCAAAAAAATTAATAAATTGATAAGTACCACCTGAATCTCTTATAAAGCAGATAACCACTTTTGAGTAGTTATCAAACAACAACAACCAAAGACAGTCCTCTTTCTTTTCCTCGACACTGAACCAGTCAAAGACTCTCAAAAGATACCAGTGCTCAGGTGCACCTTACTGTGAGAGAAAAGGCAGATTAATCAATAGTCTTCTATTATCTAGTGTAATAAATATATGAAAGTCTTTTCTGTGAGACTTGGGATTTAAGCAAAGCTGGGAAATGCAAAATGGCATGCAAAATAAAAGACTCATCTAAATGGATACTTTTTTTTAACCTTCTTTTAGCCTTCTTTTCAATGTATATAAATTGTATTGCTCACTGGCAGATATTGTCATTCCATTGACTTTGATGTCCCTAATTAGCTTAAGTTTCTCTACAGAAATCTCTGAATCAGCTATTTCAATGCCCTTCAAACTGGGATTGAAGCAGCTGCTAGGAGACTATTCTATTAGTGGTTTAATTCTAGTGTTTATTATTAGAGCCACACATTACGTTACTGAGAGACATTTGGATACAGTACTTGTGTTGTCATAAATTCAAACTGACTTCTAGTCAAAACGAGCCTTGGGTGCTCCAAACAAAGTATATATGAGTATATATGCCCAAGACTAACAACACGATAATCTGCTGGAAGAGAGATGACAATGGAAAACAGTTAGAAATGTTTTAGTCTGATAGTCCTCAATTGAGGGTAATTTTATATTTTTTATTGAAAGAATTAGGAATCAAAAGTGCAGAGGTAATTAAATTATCCCAGGGTCTTCAGAAGGCAGATGTGAGCAAAAAGTAATGTCTGAAACCAATTCCAGTGATCTCATATGCTAGTAATTACTATTTGTGCCAACATTTAGCTTTTAGGTGCAATAATGAACTGCCACTTGGATACGACATCACCAACCCTCAGTCAGGAAGACATGTTCTTTGAATGGTTTTTCCAAAACTTATACATGAAATAAGTAAACAATGCTGGTAGCTTCCCAATTTGTCTAAGTGCACTTCCGGAAAGCTTATTTTAAAAGAGAACTGCAAATATAATGTCAACTTTTTGGCAGGCAATATATCATTTATAATTTCAATTCTATTTTAACTAATGAAAATTTCTGCATTATTCAAAACACAAAGTTAAGCCTTGTTCTTGGACTGAAAGCTGCCAGCCAGCCTTAAAAATTAATAACAGCTACCACTTCCCTCCTCTGCACTGTTTAAGTGGATATATGGGACCAACATTTCAGACAGATATTTCCGAAGGGTAATAAATAATTGAGAAAACATTTATTTCTAGCTACCCATCTTCTTAGTTACCTCTCAGTCTCTTTTATTAACTATTTCTTATCAAGATTATGACTGTAGGTCAAAGCCAATGAAATAAAAAGCTCACAAAAGGCAGAGTGCTAGGTGGGGTCAGTGCTTTCCATCATTCATTCTAATAAAAAAGCCTACTTATATCTCTTTCTTCCATTTTTCATTACTTTTATATACATCTATCTATCTATCTATCTCCATGAACACTTTCATAAGAATAGAATCTCTGGAATCATAATGATAAAAATCCGTCAACATCTTGTTTGGGAATCCTTTGCTGAAAATGAATTTGTGGATTTGTTACTACCTTGTTACACTTTCTAGAAACAATGTGGAGACGAGGCAAAATATGCTGAAAAATAGTACTTTACTTGTATAAATACTGCCAGGCTTTTTCAGAGGGTCTGTTGCTAGCACTACTCCTTCTAATATTAGGCTGCAAATTGCAACTAGCACATTTATTTGGGCTCGCAAAAGCTAGTGTGGCTTGAATATGTTGAATGATGAGAGAGAGAAGTATACTGAAAACTCTAGCAGTTTTTAAAAAGGATATGAACCCCTCAGATGCAAGTTCAATATTTTACATTAAAAAGCTCTAAATAGTTATTTATATAAGCATTTGACCCTTGCTGTTATACTTTTGGGGAACTTTTTATTGGAAGGAAGCATAACTACCAGAAAAAACATTTCATTGCTCTACTGTCCTTGAAGCTTCCTGCTGGCTAATGTTCATGTATTTACCTGCCTGCCCATGAATTCTTTCTAAGAAAATGAAGTGATATTTCCATAGCAATGGTGTGAGCAGAAATTTTTTTAAAATCCTATCTCCACCTAAGAATTTATGAAAGAAGCTAACAGTAGGAAAAAAAGAGACTAGTTCGAATGTTAATTTATGAATTTCCTTTCCCCACTTATAATGTATGGAAGCCTCAGAGAAGTAAAATGACCACACGGCCAGACACCTGGTGAAGGAATAAGCAGAGGCCTGGAAGATCTTTAGAAGAGAAAACTAGCTCATTGTTTAGCACCCCTAGCAGTGTATGGGTATTTGAAAGTGAGAGGAGAGGAGAATGTTGTGAGTCAAAAATGGAGAAATGTGCAAGACTAGGTAAGGGCGATCCTGAAGTCACAGTAAACTTTTCAAAGAAGCGACCATATTTGCCTAATAAGCCATTAAGAATGTACTCATTCTCATAGCGTAATTTTCTTTTTTGATAACTATCTAGTTGGTTGCATGTAACTGTCCTAAAGGCTGATCTTTCTCCATCAGCCTCACTAGAGCTCAGATTTAGTTCCTGAAACATTTTCCTAATTTGCTGAGGAAATCTGGCTCTGCCAAATAGCTACATAATGACCAGTTAATCCTCCCAGGAGCACAGATCTATGAGGGCAGAATCTTTGTTTTGCTCCCCACTGTAACCCTGTAGTTTAGAAAAATGCCTTGCATATAGAATTGAATAAAGAAATATTTGTTGACCAGGTGTGATGTCTCAAGCCTGTAATCCCAACACTTTGCAAGGCCAAAGCAGGCAAATCTCTTGAGCTCAGGAATTCAAGGGCAGCCTGGGCAACAACATGGTGAGACTCGATCTCTACCAAAAATACAAAAACAGCCAGGCATGGTGGTGTGCACCTGTGGTCTCAGCTACTCGGGAGGCTGAGGTGGGAGGATCACTTGAGCTCAGGGTGGGGGGTGAGGGTCGACGGGATGGAGGCTCCAGGTTTCAGTGAGCTGAGATCCTGCCACTGCACTCCAGACTGGGTGACAGAGTAAGACCTTGTCTCAAAAAACATGAGAAAAATAAATATTCGTTGAGTATATATTGTTAAATAAATTTTCTGGGCCCAACAACTCAGTTTTACAAAGTCATTTTCAAAACCCAAAGGTTCTAAAATTTGACGAAATTATACTGCTTTATGTTTTGAATTTTATGATATGTCTAGTGCACTTGCAAATATGTATGTGAGGCAAGTAGAGGTCCCACATTTTTAATACAATTAGATATAGTTTAGTAATTTTGAAAGTCAAGATATAGGAGATCAAATAAACCTCCACTGTACCACCTCAGAACGAGAGCTTGATTTTGTAAACTCCTGGACAAGATATCCCTGAGACAACAGGGACTTACTTGAAAGGGATGCACTCACAGAATAAAGCAGGCATTTAGGAGTAAACTCGTCTGCAACATATGGTGAAGGGGACAGAGTTACTGTCAAAAAGTGGGGACCAGCAAGGTGGTAAGATAGGCCACTCCACACGTGGGAAGTTCAGGCTGCACAGAACAGGATCTTAGCTACAGTGCTCTGGTTGGGTGATAAGATTCCAGCTGTTAAATAGGTTATTGAT